AGAAAAGATAAAGTTAGTTACCATCTTTCAATAGAATCACATGAGCCACAATCGCAGCCTCTTTCAGTCCACTTCCATCGTCAAACTACACCTTCACTGTACTCCTTAATGCCATAACCCACTGTCCATTTTTCTAGTCTTCATAAATCATGTTCATCGTGTTTTCGAGAGATTTGGAAACAGGTCTTTTGAATGTGACCCATAGGGGGCGCCCTTTCCTCAGAAACTCTAAACCTTGAAGCCCAGTATTTTCTTTTTCACAGAACAACTATTAACAAAAATTTAAATGTGTATATGTGTGTGATCTATTCATTATATTTGATGTTTTTCATTAAAATTTGTTATTGTCGTACCTGGAAACCCTGTAATTAGAAAGGATGTGCAAATACTTACCGGTTGGTCCAATATTGGCGCTTGCAGCCTTGCCATGCTGTCAGATACATTTTCAACAGTAGCCTGTGTTCAAGGAAAAATGTTTGCTGCTGCAAAAGCACAGAAAAAACCCTGTAGAAGCTCATGAAAAGCAAGAAAGCTCACAAAACACAGTGGTAGTGATTTGGGGGAAACAACAAAGTGACAAAACAGCTGTGATAAACAACTAATAGCAAACATGTAATGTATTATGTGAAACATGCGATTAGAACACACATTACATTGTACCTTTTTTCTCCCTCACAGCACCGATGACTCCTCGTTTTTTTTAAGCACGTCTCAGTGCAATCTCTGGCGTTTTGTCATGTTAAACTGCAGGAATGTCTTAAAGACATAAAGACCTGGATGGCCGCTAACTTTCTGCTTCTTAATTCAGGTAAAACTGAGGTTATTGTACTCGGCCCTGAAAATCTTAGAAATATGGCATCTAACCAGAATCTTACTCTGGATGGCATTACCTTGGCCTCCAGTAACACTGTGAGGAACCTTGGAGTCATTTTTGACCAAGACATGTCCTTCAATGCACATATTAAACAAATATGTAAGACTGCTTTCTTTCATTTGTGCAATATCTCTAAAATTAGAAATATCCTGTCTCAGAGTGAGGCTGAAAAACTAGTTCACGCATACAGCAAGAGTCCTGACAGGGACTAGAAAGAGAGAGCAGATTTCTCCTGTTTT